TCAGCTGTTTCGGTTGCTTAGCAACGCGGGTTTGTCGAGCTCATGAAGTGACATGAAGCCGCCAGTGCGTGCATGTCACCAACGGAACGTGGGCGTTGAGCGGCGACGCTGTTGAGTTTAAGGCGATGAATATTATTTTCGAGCGTTATGATATTATTATGATATGGTACAATAATTTTGATGCTTGGCAGTTGAGATAAGGTACATTTCCGTGATTGTTGTGGGAAACTTGTGAGGTTATCTGGGGAAATAGGTACTGTACAGTGCAATATTCTGTTTGCGAAGTTTTGCACAACGTTTCGGGGTTGTTTTGTGCGCGAATTGCATGTACGGTAAGAGGACGCACTGTTCAGGAGGGTAAGAGTACGCAGAATTATACATTAAATCGAATATACAGAAATATAGAATTATTAATCTATCGCTCAATGACGTTTGTTTAGTAGGTATATCATCAATGGAGCACTGTGATGCAGATGCGTACCCGAAATTCTACCAAATACGAGTTATTCTCCTTTTTGATTGTGCATTTTTTTTTTTAAGAAACACACGACATGATTATTTCCTGATTTATAGACTTGAAAGATTTATTTTATGTTTTTCTTTTTGGATACTAGAATTAACTTAAATGCCTTCTGAGTTTGAAGTTAAGCATTTGGACAGTGCAAGCTGCATAGGTGTGTGTTCATATGCTTGCGTACTCCACCCGCCTGGCGTGCGTACTCTTACACACCCCATATGGTAAGAGTACGCAAGTGCAACGGTTCAGAAAATGTCAGTTTTAGACCACTTCCATTTACGCTGAAGGATCGTTGCCCCATGGGTTGATGGCTAATTCAATGAACTTTAATATTCCCTATTTGCGATTTCTTTCCTTCAAATATTAAACAAATGACAGCAAGAAATCCACTAAGTGCGTACTCTTATACGACTTCACCCTACCCTGGTCGAGACGGATTGGTGCGTACTGTTGACGTCAGAACAAAAAGGGGGGTTTACACCCGGTCTGTACAAAGGCTGCATGACTTAGAGCCAGGGGCGGATCCAGAAAATCTCCAAGGGAGGGGCCATTAGAAACCAGGAGGCCCCCCCCCCCATAATCCCACCTGTTGGAGGCCCCATCTTCCCACTTGTTGGCCCCCCCAAAAAAAACTGCGTCTATTGAGCTTATCTAGCTGTTCAGGCAACATCTCAACATCTGTGCAGGCTTGGAGGCCCTCTGTGCAGGTTAGGAGGCCCTGTAAAAGTGGTCATCTCTGTGAGTATAAGAGACCTCCAAGTTATGAAAAGCTTTACCAATCTTCTAACAAAGAAGTCTTCTCAGCTAGTCTTCTAAGAAATAACTAAGTGGGTAGGTTAAAAAAAACTCATCGGATTTCGGCCACTTTATTTTCAGGAGGCCCCCTTTTCAGCTTTTAACTTTTTAACTTTTTATTTTATTTTTGAAAAAAATCGGCCAAGGGGAGGCCATGGCCCCCATGGCCCCCCTTGTATCCGCGCATGCTTAGAGCTTTTCGGAGATCTCGGCCCTACTGACCCGGTACCAACGCATTTTGAAAATGATCAGTCTGCCACTGATGCCGCTGTGTGTGATTCGGGTCGCGAACAGGTGGTGCCTGAGACATGCGATAACCAAGTGGTGACTCGTTACGGGAGAGTCGTGAAAAAGCGTATCTTGTAACTTTGTTTTCATGGCTAATTTTCACTTGTGTTCTCAAGCTGGTTAGTGTTGATATGCTGCGCATATCAAGGTGGGGAATGTGTTGCGGATTAAGTGCTGGTGTCGCCGCTCGCCGCACGTATAGATGTCGCAGGATTCGCCGCCGGGCAGCGGATTGACTGCGGATGCCGCCGCTCGACGCTCATAGATGTCGCAGCAGTCGCCGCCGGCCAGCTGCAGCGGACAGCTGCTGTGTCAGCTGATCGGTGTGCCACGTCGTTGTTTTTACTGGGGACGCCATTGTTTGTCGTTTTGTGTGAGCGAAAGGTGCTCGAGTGCGCCATTTGTCAGTTTTTGCCTCTCAGTCGACCTGAGTTGTGAAATACAAGTGAGAAAATTTCTACAGATGATGATGAACAATGTTGAAACTTATAGTTTTGACATTTGGCCTGAAATAAACTGCCTGTGATAAGGACGTGTCGGGTCGCGGCCGGCCGGCCGCGGACCATTTTCAGAAGTGGCGGGCAGACCGTGCGTCGAGTACTTGCTTACTCGCGCGGCGGTACTGGGGTTCACAATCATTGTTTAAAATCTTTTCATTTGCCATGAACTTTAAATTATACACTGTAACTAACGATCATTTGTCAATTATTACAAGTTCTTCAAAATTCTTCTATGAAAGAAAATGATTTCATTTCACTCAAGAATTGTCTTGTCCACCACTACAACCGCCACCCAGCCGCCATCCACTGGAAGAAATAGGCTCTGCGGCACAAAGTGTCGCTTTAAACTGGACTGGGAACCAATGTGTGATGCCACTTCAAGCTAAATTTATGCTCATTATGTACCTAAAAGTATTGGGAACAACGCTCTGACTGTACATTTTTAGATTTTTGCCTCTAAATGGAAATATTTACAATGAAGTACTTTGCGAGCGCAGTTTAGACGGTGCGAGCGACTTTAGCGAGTGTCATTTGAGCGAACGTCATTTGAGCGAACCATTTTCAGCGACTGGCAACTTAGCGAATATCAAATTGATCGATTATCAAATATAGCGATTATCAATTTTAGCGAAAGCTATGTTTCAGCGACATCTTTTTCGTTGACTACAGTTTGAGCGACTGTCATTTCAGCGAAACACTTCATCGTCCCGTAACGGTATATTTTTTCTTTTTTTTCTTTTGCGAGCGTTCGTACAACGAGTGTTCCCGGAACTTTTCATGGTTATCCGGAACTGGATGGTGGATGTCACGTTCAGAGTTCAGACATTAAGCTCCAAATTTAATGCCACATTTCTAAAAATTCCAGCGGTTCGATCCCCCCCCCCCTGCTGTTTGCCAATAATGATGACCAAGCGTTTGTTCAGAGATTCATATTGCTTGTGCTGTTTTTCGCGAAATTCCCCCGCTTGAATTTGGATCAGTTCCCCATGTTGTAAAATTTGTTCTTGCCCCAAGCAACGTACGAATTTCCAGATACTTGGGTGAGGGTCCCTGAAACATAGACTGGATCCCCCTGTGCCATCCCTCGAGTTTATTATTGGTCCTTGGCATTCCTTCCATCGTCCTATCTCTCTTCCAGATCAAAGTTGCAGAATGAGGCCAGATATTTTTGTGGTTTCCAAGCTTAAAAGAAAAATTTTAATTTGCCGCGCGCAGCTTGAAGCATAACACAAACCAAGCGGGTATTCCAAGGGCAAGAATTCTCGAAAAGTAGAAATGATTGATTTCCGTCGCGTTCGGTTTCGCTGTAACTGTGTTCGCTCAATTGGTCCCCCATTGACCTCCATATATTCGCTCAATCTGGTTTCGCTGATTCTGGTCCTCGCTTAAGTTGATAATCGCTGTGATTGAATTCGCCGACTTGACAATCGCTGAAAAAGTCAATCGCTTAAATTGCTAATTGCTGAAAAGGCTTCGCTCAAATGTCGTTCGCTGAAATGACGCTCGCTCAGGTGTCGCAGAACCCAGTTTAGAAGCTCCAGTAACGTTAAAGTCCTATCTCCGACAAGTATGTAAATACTGCTCTAGGGAACCAACAGTTCGCATCGTACTAGCTTTAAATTATATCCATATTGTTCCCAGTACTTTCCTGAACACCGTGGTGAGTGTACATTTTTCGTTTTTTTGCCTTTCAAGCGAAAAATTCGTCTGGTTTTACACCACTTCATTGGCCTCCATAGCCCCGTAACGGCGCCGCGCGGCCCGGCCGGCCGGCGCCCGCTGTAGTTCCAAGCACTGCCCGATAGATGGCAGGCGCAGAAGTGGTCCGGGCCGTCCCGGTACGATTTGCCATGCCTTCAGCAATCCTCGGCCACCCACGGAGCCTTGGCGCCCAGCCCCTAGTCCGCCGAAATTGAATCAGCGGCAGCTGACCCCCGGCCCCGCCACCCACGGACCGGCCAGCTGACCCCCGGTCCCGCCACCCACGGACCGGCGGCAGCTGACCCCCGGTCCCGCCACCCACGGACCGGCGGCAGCTGACCCCCGGTCCCGCCACCCACGGACCGGCGGCAGCTGACCCCCGGTCCCGCCACCCACGGACCGGCGACAGCTGACCCCCGGTCCCGCCACCCACGGACCGGCGGCAACTGACCCCTGGTCCCGCCACCCACGGACCGGCGACAGCTGACCCCCGGTCCCGCCACCCACGGACCGGCGGCAACTGACCCCCGGTCCCGCCACCCACGGACCGGCGACAGCTGACCCCCGGTCCCGCCACCCACGGACCGGCGGCAGCTGACCCCGGTCCCGCCACCCACGGACCGGCGGCAGCTGACCCCCGGTCCCGCCACCCACGGACCGGCGACAGCTGACCCCCGGTCCCGCCACCCACGGACCGGCGGCAGCTAACCCCCGGTCCCGCCACCCACGGACCGGCGGCAGCTGACCCCCGGTCCCGCCACCCACGGACCGGCGACAGCTGACCCCCGGTCCCTCTGCCCGGGTCCCGCCGTCCACCCTCAGACGCCGCCAGTTTCAGTTTCAGTGTGGTGTTTTCTGCATAATATTTAGTAATCAGTACAAGTGTTGGGACACACGGGGCGGCAGACGCAGCTGGCACGGGGCGGCAGACGCAGCTGACACGGGGCGGCAGACGCAGCTGACACGGGGTGCCGGACCGCCCGAGCGCAGCCGGACACGGCGCGCGCTCCAGGCGGTTACAAAGCTAGCTAGCGGCCGGTAGCCAGCGATCCACTCAGACTGGGCCACTCCAATGGAATATCACGCGGCGCACCTGCCGGCTCAGCAGCTCGTCAGAAAAGCTCATGGCGTGGCGCACGGTGCGCCAAAACGCGCCAAAATGACATTCGCAGTATTACCAGCTCACACACACACGCAACCACCTGCACACAAATATATATACACACACATACACACGCACACACATCACAGCCTCACAGGAAACCATATACATATGGGAGCAGTGGTCGGCCGCAGCCAAAAGAGGCGCGGCGCCACGAGCACCGCACAGCGGTCCCTGGTGTGCCATTAGAAAAACAAACACGGCCGCTGCCCGTCAGCGGCCGAGAGCAGAGCGCGCGTCAGGTCGGCGGCAGCCCAGCGCGGCCGTGGTCACTCGCCTCACACACCGGACAACACTATACAAAAAAACGCCTCAGAAATTCTATACGAGTGAGGGTGGCGCCGACTATCGTCCGGCGGCCGCGCCGGCCGGGGGTGTCGGGAGGGCGCTGCCGGCGCGCCCGGCGCCCGGTCACACCATCATCAGCTCCTCCTGGCCGTCAAACAGGTACTGGGCTGTTTGATCATAGTCTGCACTATGTCCTCCAGGTGCGGCCGCATCGACTCGAACACGGCCATGTCGGTGAACTGGAGCGGCAGCAGAGTGGGCCACCAGCAGATGGCCAGGTTCTTACTGTCCATGCTGTTGAGGTCGGCCTTGTCCGACACCCTGCCGGCGGCGCACACGTCAGTGAGCGCTCCCACCTGCCGGACCACCCGCCGCCGGGCACGCGCTCCCAGCGCACTCCGTGGCACCGCTGCAGCCGGCCACCAGTTCATCTATGTAGCTGGCCCGTTGGCTAAGGTCACTGCTTAAGTGCCACTTACTCAAAGGAACACTTGTGCCAAAGTTGGTCAGGTATGTAAGGGTGACTGATAAGAACCCATTTGTCTGTCCGCCCTTTCCAGTAAATGTCAGTTAGCAGCAAAGGGGCTCTACAAAAGGGGTATGTGAAACGGGGCCTTCTGATCCGGCAAGCCAGTGTGCGGCGTCTGCTCGGCGACCGGTAGCCGGTGGCGCTGAGCGTCGGGCGGCGATCAGGGCCGGTGGCCAGCGTACCAACTAGTGATGTCAATTTCAGAAATCTGGGAAACCGACACCAAACCGCTACCGACCACTGAGAATAAAACCACGAAACCAAATCAATCTTTAGAAATAGGGGAAATACCGACTAGATACCGAATTCAGGAAATTATGAAATAAAAACTTCAATTTTCCTTCAAAACATATGTTAAGCATTGCACAAGCATAACATAAGGACAAGGTTAAGCTGTGACTTGACGTGTCCTAGATGGCCTCCAATTGAGCTCTGTAATGACCCCAAGTTGACCTCTGTGACCTGACGTGTCTCATTACCTCTGTGACCTCTAAGCAACCTCTCTGATGACCCCAAGCTGACCTCTCTGACCTGACGTGTCCCAGATAACCCCCATGACCTCCAATAGAGCTCTGTAATGACTCAAAGCTGATCTCTGTGACCTGACGTGTTCCAGATGACCCCCATGACCTTCAATTGAGCTCTGTGATGACCCCAAGTTGACCTCTGTGACTTGACGTGTTCTAGATGACCTCCGTGACCTCCAGTTGAGCTCTTTGATGACCCAAACCTGACCTCTATGACCTGACGTGTCCCAGATGACCCCCAATTGAGCTCTGTGATGATCCCAAGTTGACCTCTGTGACCTGACGTGCTCCCAAGTTGTCGTCTGTGACCTGACGTGTCTCAGATTACCTCCGTGGTCTCCAATTGAGCTCTGTGATGACCCCAAGTTAACCTCTGTGACCTGACGTGTCCCATATGACCTCTGTAACCTCCAATTGTGACCTCCATCTCCATCACCTCTATGTGACCTCAAACTCTCTGAACTCATTTCTTCAAACGCTTCTAGATGCCCTATAGCCACGAATCACCTGTTATCGATCCCAAATTTTATGGCAAATCACGTGAGCGTTAGCAACCAAATGTCACCCAGTTGAGACAAAGCTTCAGAATCATAGAACATGCTTGACCTGGCTGTCTCATAAGCTCGCAAACCAGAAGGGCGAATGTTCCTTTATGCGTAATGGAGTTTTCAACCTTTCTGACGTTTACTACGGGATCAGCTGATCGTGCAACCTTTTAAATTATCGAGTAAAGCGGGTATTTAAGCCTGTCGCAGCTACGTTCTGTCGTATCCTCTGACAAACTCCTCTTTCCTCAACATCCCTCCTTTTCCGCTACGACACAACTTACAACGGGACATGTGTCGTAACTTGCGACGCCCTGGATCCCTCCGGCCTTATTAGTTGCACAATACAGTTGCTAAATGTTTTTTTGCAATGCAAATAATTTGGAGATTCCCTGATTTGTTTTTGTTGCCTATTTAAGTATTACCTTTCAATATTTATCATATTTTAAGAGAGTTTGAAGTGTTTGTTTGATAATTCTCTGAATTCGGTATCTAGGTTTCTAGGTTATCTAGGTTATTCGTGGTTTTATTTCCCCTTATTTCTGTAAATTGGTTCGGTTTCGGTATACTCTCAATGGTTTTGGTCGGTATCAGTTTGGTATCGGTTTCCAAAATTTCTGAAATTGGCATCACTAATAACACTTATAGATAGTAGGCACCACTGTAATGATATCACGATGAAAGCTTATTAAAATGTCCATAACTTTACGAAAACATTGACACATTTCACCGGTCATCTCTACCAGGGTATATTGAATTAGGGGTACACTGAGAAAAAAATTATTCCCCAGGGGTGTTTTACGGGTGTCAGACACCATTGGAGGTGTCATCGAACACCCAGATTGGTGTTGAAAAATGCTGTTTAGGGAATCATTAAGGTGTACAACACCACGATGACACCCTTTCAAGTGTTCGTTCGCAGGCGAGCGTTTAGATATACCTTAATGGGATTCAGCATGACACCTTAATAGGTGTCCGACACCCACACCCATCCGGGTATCAAACACTCTAAGGTATCAAACACCCTAAAAGGTGTCAAAAATGTTCTTTTAAAAGCATCTGACACCGATGATGCCTTCACAGGTGTTGCCATTTATTGAAGCGGAATGTTAAGAGTGTCCGACACTGCTAGAGGTGTCACATTGACACTTGCAAAAGTATCTGACACCAAAACAGCGTGAAAAAAAGGAAAAATATTCCCATGGGTGTCTCACGGGTGTCGGACATCATTGCAGTGTCATATATAACGCCCAGATTGGTGTCAAAAATGTTGTTTTGGGAATCATGGAGGTGTACAACACCACGATGACAACCTTCAAGTGCAACGCGCTTTTAAACACACCATGATGGGATTCAGAAAGACACATTAATGGGTGTCCTATACACCAACATCCATTCGGGTGTCAAACACCCTAAACCATCAACACTTCAAAAGGTGTAAACAAAAATGTTCCTTAAAAGGGATCTGATACCCTTGTGATACCTTCACGTGTGTTGTCATTTGTTGAGGAACATTCCAGCATGAGTCATGAAATGTTTGAAAGCTGTCGTGTATTCGAACCTAAATCATCACATAAATTGTTCTGACGTCACTTGTGTTAGGAACCAGGGATGCGGTGTCTAACGGATTTTCAGTGACTCGCACTCCCGCTCTGTCTTCCAAAATGGACTCCTATTCCGGCCAGAACTGCCAACTCCATCAGACTCCGACTCTGACTCCGTAGCACTGCTAGAAACCACAGCAGGTCCAGTGGTTTGAATCATTACCCAATCAGCAAGCTTCATTGTGTGACGTCATTTGTGTGCTAGTCACGGCGTCAACCATGCGAAGATCAAAAAGCGCCACCTTGCAGGAAAGCCGTTAGATTTCAGTTGGCGGCGACGTGCCACGTGGTGCGTGTGCGGTGTGAGTGATGGCAGGGTTTTTTTTGAATTTATGTGGATATAGTGGCGCCGAACGTTGTTCGCAGTGTACTTCTTCAAGTGATTGTGCGTTAATGATAATGTTTAGCTTTTATTTGTAGCTTGCTCCGTGTTTATTCAAATGACGAGGCGGGCGGTACTCGGTGAAATTTGAAGTCTGGAGTGAGGATGACAACACAGCATTGCACCATGGAAACGAAAGCAAGTGAACTGCGGAATAACATCTAGTTGGAGATAATCGACGGTTAATTATCATTGCTGAAATGCGAGCAACTTCTCACTGTGAATGGACCCGATGTGTTTCGGTGAGTTTTCATTGGATTTCTCCGTAAATATAGGGCCCATATTTTTGTACTTTATAGTTTGTTGCTGTATACAAGATAGGAATGCCATTGTATGCGATATGCCTGTTTGAACCAATAAATGTAAGAATGTGTCGACACCTTTTTTGGCATCCAATGGACACTCTCGTAACACCTTTAAGGGTGTGTACCAAACTGCACCTCGCTGGGGTGTCAGACGGGTGTCACTTTTGACACCAATACAGGTGTCATTGGGATCAAACACCGGGTGTCTGACACCTTTTTGGGTGCACCCAAAAGGGTATCAGACACCTAAAAGGGTGTCAGACACCCGGTGTTTCATTCCCAATGACACCTGTATTGGTGTCAAAAGTGACACCCGTCTGACACCCCAGCGAGGTGCAGTTTGGTACACACCCTTAAAGGTGTTCCAGGGGAATAATTTTTTTTTCAGTGTAGGACCAAGTTTAGTAGGCATGATCTCAGCAATTATCTTGTTTTATATGGCGGTTTTCATTATCACAATATTATTTTTGATATCATGAAGTTTGTATATATCGGTTTTACGAAAAAGTTGGGCAACAAATATAAATTTCGCCCTAATTTTAGTTGGAAACATCCATTCTGGTATGCAAAATTCAGTATGAAGCCTGGTATGGTGACCGTCTAGTGTGCTTCCAAGGCTGAGTACCTGATATCAACAGGAGTTGTTTACTATTTTGCGTTACGTTGCTAGGGGTTGCTAGGGAGCTAAGGATACTCTCTTGCGTGATCATTTGCACTTATTTTTCCTCATTATATCGACATGTTGCTGTTTCTGAGACCTAGCTCATGCTAAGAATAAAAAGTAGTTTTCTTAAAATGTGTATTTAAGTGCCGTAGTATTAACACAGCTCTGCAATTCTGCTTAAATATCTGCAAAATCCTGACTTCCCGGAAAATTTTTGGTGGTGATGGGGATCGAGCCCGTCGATGAAAAGTAAGTCAATATTCAAAGGTTTCAAAACGTTATTTCTTGTTGTTCTGTGAAATAGCAATGCAAAGACCGATGATAGTGCCAGTGTTGAGCTTTCCAATGAAGCATTGCAATTAGTAGTAAGGTTATTATCGCCTAAGATATCTTCCATCAAATATTAGAATTCTGGCATTGTCTTGCTGTAGAACAGGGTTACTTTCAGTCTCTTGGGAACACGATTTGCCGGTCTCAGATCGAAAAACACTTCCAAAAGCGGTAATAGACAATGAAATTTCCCACCTGATAGCATCTCGGGTTTTTATATATCCTGTCTAGAATTTTCATAAATCAGACGTAAAAATGGCCAAGTTCGTCAGATTCCGAATTTTTGCAATTGGGTCTAATGTAAAGCATTGCTACTTTCAGTCTCTTGGGAACACGATTTCTGTACCTCAGATTGAAAAACACTTCAAAAGTCGCAGATAGTAGACGATTTAATCTACAAGATAGCATCTCGCTTTTTTCTGTATCTGGTCATGTATCTTCATAAAACCCTCTCAAATATAGCCAATTAAGCATTAAAGTCTATGGATTTAGAAGAATTTTCATATCCGACTAGATTTGGGCTACCATGTCTGTTGACCGGGGCCGATCTCTACCACAATGGCAGCCTTGGTGGCGGCGGCCATTTGCATTTAGGCACAGAATTGCATAAAATAGTTTTTTTTCTTTTTTTTTTGCTTTAGTACACTTTCGTCAACAAAATGTATGTATATATTTTGGCATCTAAAATTAATTCAGGAAAGATATAAAAGAAACAGGCCGCTATAAATGAAAAATGAAGCATCAGAAAAAGTTGTTCAATTGTTTTCATTTAGTCATTGAGCTACATCGGTGCCTACTTGGCGCAGTTGCGACAATAAAATGTTTTTAGATGTGTTCAGTTTTGAAACTGCTGCGTGCAAATCAAGCCAAAGCCCATGTCGCGGCCACGCGCCGGCCTCTGCTCGACGGGACGCCGCGCCTCGCGGCGCCCGACTCTCCTCTGGCGGAGCGGACTGTAGGCACTCCTTTCTGGGGCTAATCAGACCAGCGGGTCCACGGCATTTGGGTGAAATGAAACTCGTGCACACCTTATTCAACACAAGTAGGCGAAGGGTTTCAGGCAGATTGATCGGATATGAAGGATGGCCACAATTCAGCAGCCAGGAGCCACGGCAATTCAGCGTGACACAGGTGAGTGATAGAAGTCGCAATTCAAGCGACAAGGAGGCCCACAATTCAGCAGCCTGGAAGGGTAAAAATGGGAAGGTTAAGTGAGTAGAGATAGAAGTCACAATTCAAGCGACAAGGAGGCCCACAATTCAGCAGGCCAGGAAGGGTAAAATGGAAGGGTTAAGTGAGTAAAGATAGAAGTCACAATTCAAGCGACAAGGAGGCCCACAATTCAGCAGACCAGGAAGGGTAAAGGAGTGAAGGTAAGGTAACTTGTGTAGAATGAAGAGTTGCGCACGCGCCGCACACGCCCGATTCGAACTCCGCCCGCTCACTGCTGCTCACTGTGTCTCGTTGACCGTTGTTTCTCTCACACTTCCCGACACATCACTGAAGAGCGTATTTCTGTATTGCGGGGTCCAAGAACGGTGTGACGGCTACGACAAGACAGAGGCACGTCCGCACGCTGCGGAGGCCAGAACAGAACAAGCGGGGGGGAACATGTTTACAGCGGTTTAAATATGACGAGAAATGGGAACACGAAGAATAGCACAGGCGGGCAGCTGAAAGAATCCGGAAACTAGGGAGAAGAAAAACATGACCACGGCGGTCCCAAAAATAGCCGCACCTGGCCGGTCCGCGCGCCCACCTGGGACGGGGACGCCGGCGTGGACAATGCATTCCACGCCGGGGATGTCGAAAACAGGGGCCGACTGGAGGGCGCGGCCCTCCCAGGCGGCGGCGGAAGGGTCAGGCCGGGCCCGGGCGGCGGCGCCCGGCCCGGCCCGGCGCTCTGCCTCGCCGGCGACGGGCTACAGCCGGCGAATACACATCTGCATACATTTAGGTATGCGGCGGTCACAGCCCAACTTTATTTTAGGAATGGTCTTGATTTCATTGCTAGCGATCTCCATCTGTTGAGGAGAGCAGGAAAGAGAACAATAATTAAAGAATATTAATTATCCACACTCCACAGGATCTCTCAGTTATCAACAACATAGGCTTTTAAAGTCGAGCGAAGTTGAGAGATTTGTGGGGTGATGAAGTGATAAATGCTGCCTTCAATATTAGATGATAATAGTGAAGCTAGTGCTTTACAAAACAGGGTTTTGGATAATGTAACTGCATTGCAATGAAATAGAGAGCAAGACAAGGTCAAGATCAATCATAGACTCCTCAAGACAAAGTCAAATTAGTTTCTGATAAATGCTTTGGAAATTTTGAGTAAGGTAGTTAAAGCATGTTTTCCAGTATACAGTCGGTTAAACATTGATACATGTTTATGTCTTGCACATTAGCTTTTTTTGTAAGATAATTATCCTCATGCCTCATGGTTTTGAATTTGCTAGCACTAATAAGTTGCCATTTAACCTTGGTAGACTGATGTGTTTGATATTACAGTTAACGTTTGTGCCCCATTTGTTATGTTATGACATCGTGCATTGGGGAAAATGTGTCATGATGGCTTGTCTTCATCCAATGTCATTTGGCAAATCAAGTTTGAGTTCTGAAGGTTTAACAAAAAAAATCAAATATTTTATGTCAGCAGTTGATTTTTATAATACCGACAAAATACCAAATGCTTTTGGTATAAAATACCGAATACCGAATCGGTATTGGTTCGGTATCGGTATAGCGAAATTTTGGTAACCGGTTGACACCACTAGTGCCAGCACACGGCCACGGGCAGAGTGCCGCACTGCGGTCAGTCACGGGCCGCCGAGTCGAGCGGGGCGGGGCGGGGCGGGAGCAGGCCGGCCGACTCACCCACCACTCACCTGCCAAAGTGGCGGAACAGGTACTTCAGGATGTTGAAGTTGACCGGCGGCAGGTCCTTCAGCAGCACGGTCAGCTTGAACAGGCGCGTTCGACGATCGGAGACGCCTGCCAAAGCACCGGCATACAAATTACAGATTCCAGACTAGATAGACCGACAGCCGGCATACAGATTACAGATTGCAGATTACAGACGACGCTACACCGACAACACACCATCACCGACAGTCATGGACCACAGCCTCTGCTGGGAGTCCGGCTGCCATGCCAGTCAGTATCTTTAATAATGTACAATGTATTTCAATAGGGTAAGGGCAAGTCCCTAAAACATAAGGTTGGACAAAGTTTTCTACCAAAAATGTACTAAAGTAGCGCACGAGTCCAAGCTATTTCCGATGTTTCTTTACAAATATGTCGCAAACAAGCTTTTCTGTTATTAATTAATGCTTCGAAGTTATAGAAGCAGTTTCTATAAATTCAATAAGCAAACACTTATTTCTTTTATAAAAGCCTAGCTTATAGAGTCCAACTCTAGTTGAATAATCAAGCAGCTACTAAATTTTCCAGATGTGACACATATTGCGCAGTTCAGACAAATACGTTGCTAGGGCGTTGCTAAGGACTCTTTCGCATGTTTTGCTGCTTGGTTTTTGTCATGAGATGAGGGGAGTAAGATGGACAGGCTTTTTGATTTTTTTCTGGTTTTCTAGAACCGTCTCAATTATTTAACTTGACATACTTTTCTTGCTTTGTTACCCTAGTTTTTTTCTCTCAACAATTGGTGGATTCTAGCGTGGAAATAAAAAGGAGAACAGGCCACAGGGCTACATGCAAGTCGACTGATAGTGAAATAAAAGGTAGATAAGTGTCTTTCATTAGAAATTTAATGTGATGTGATGAAACATGGAGCACCAGAGGATCAGACGCAACAACAACCAATTAAGAACCCAGAACCAGCAAACGCCATGCAATCAAGAGCAGCCATGGTAACGTTTGATTAGCTTCAAGAAAAGCTTTGAAGGTACGCCAGACGGTGAGCAATCAAGAGATCTTAGAAGACCAGTAGTTACTTGAAAACGAGAGCCGCCAGGAAAATCAGTAGATTCTTCAATGGCAACACATTTCAACATCTATCTATATAGCAATGATTTGCTCCAGCGAGCGTTTTCATTGTGTTTTGTATCTGTATCCTTCACTGCTAAAAAATATTTGCCAATAAATAATAATTAAAGCAAATACTGCGTCTTTTTCTACTGAAAGTAAGTCCTCCTAGTGGCAGGGGATGAATAATAGAAGGGCAGAAGGCAGTAGCGGCGGAGCACCTTCGATCAAGGGGGGGGGGGGCACTGCCGAATTTCGGTCCCATTCTTTCCATGCAACGCCCATAGGGCTAATGTTAAAATGCCAAAATCAAAGGGGGGCACGGTGCCCCGGTGCCCTCCCCGTTCCGCCGCCTATGGCAAAAGGTACCATATTAATTGCCGTCTATTCATTCAATTCATAGACAACTCGGGGCATCGAGGCAGCACCCTTACTGCATGGTGCTGCGCAGCTACCGGACAATGGTCACGTCACACGTGACCACTTGACCTTGAGTTGGCACCAGATTTTGTCGACAGATATTGCGCTGTTAATACATGCAGTGGCGCAGCTTATTTTAATGCAATATTTTAGGTTCTAAATATTGGGCATGTTATGCTAAATGATAAGTACCTAATATAGGAATGATCTTTAATATACTTATTATTAAAACTTGAACTAATGGAAATGAAAATAAATTGAGCTGCGAATCTGTCTTAAGTGGCATTCACTGTGCCCTAACATAGGTATAAATTGAAGAGCTGACTCTGAGCCTGCACAAGGTCAGCATGGTTACAGTTTCTTAATTTTTCTTCATGCATAAGTAAAGACTACGCTACGAGTGCTACAAATGTTTGCTCACATATCTTGTTTAACCCTCGCCGGCACAGGGGGGAGGGGTTGATGCAACCCCCCCCCTAAGGTTTTTCGCGAATAACTCGCGTAAAAAGCGGCCGATCGCGACGAAACTTTCAGTACCCTCGCATTGATCAATTTTACACCTACCCTGAAAATTTCATGACCCTGACCCCAATGACCTTTGACCTGTGACCTCTTTTCTGTGACCATGTTTGGCCGAAATCGCGGTTCGGCGCATGTCGGCTCGCATTAGCCGCGCGTTTGCAAGCTTTTCGTGGTTTCAAACGTTAAAACATGTGATTTGATGTTGCTCCCATGCATTAGGGTGTCAAGGTCACCTGAAGGTCAGATCAGGTCATTGACCTTTGGTGACCTCGAGTGACCTCGGTTCACTTTTTCGAGTTTTACATGTTTCTAGGCTAGTTTTTGGCGCTGAATTCGAATTTAGCAACCATTTGAACATTTACGAAGTAGTTTTGGTGCCTTCGTAACATGTTACGAAGCTGTCCGAGGCGGTTGACACGTATTACGAATACCCGTCACAACCCCTACCGGTTGACCTGACCTGACCCGACCTGGTCTAAATGCTTAAAGACATCATCTATGATCAAAACTAACACGATATTCGTGATCAGCACCCCGGAAAACCACATGGCAGCCACACTTTACGACTTTCTAACAGGTCCCGATTTTCCCGGTTTTCGGGTCATTGACCTGACCTGGAAGGTCACCCGATGACCAAGGACCTTAAAATTGGGTATCATCGGCTTCCTCTCGTGACGGGCAACACGCTCGTTTTTTCCGCGAAGCTCTAGCTCGATCAGGGGCCAAACGCGAGGGGGGGGGGTCGTACCAACCCCCCCCCTTGTGCCGTCGAAGGACTCAAAATTGCCTGTGCTGGCGAGGGTTAATAAACTCAGTGGCGCAGCCAGGGGGGTCAGAGGGTCAGCTGACCCCCCCGAAATTTATGTCAGGGGCCCGCTCGAGAGAGAGAGAGAGAGAGAGAGAGAGAGAGAGAGAGAGAGAGAGAGAGAGAGAGAGAGAGAGAGAGAGAGAGAGAGAGAGAGAGAGAAGAGAGAAGAGAGAAGAGAGAAGAGAGAAGAGAGAAGAGAGAGAGAGAAGAGAGAAGAGAGAAGAGAGAAGAGAGAAGAGAGAGAAGAGAGAGAGAGAGAGAGAGAGAGAGAGAGAGAGAGAGAGAGAGAGAGAGAGAGAGAGAGAGAGAGAGAGAGAGAGAGAGAGAGAGAGAGAGAGAGAGAGAGAGAGAGAGAGAGAGAGAGAGAGAGAGAGAGAGAGAGAGAGAGAGAGAGCATCAGAAATGCATCAGGAGTAGTCAATTACGGTGTAGAAGGAATAGAACTATCCAATTAAAAAGACCGCAGGCCAATCGGTCCAGCGGTTGTTGAGATATTAGCCTCTCAAAAGTGTTACTGGCCGGGCCGGACCGGGCCGCTCAATACTGAGATTTTTCCGTTATATTGAAAAGACCTCGCTTCGCTCGCTGCGTTCTCTCGCTCGTATTAATACATATCGTGTATCTGAGCATGGTTGTTATTGAATTAAAATATATTGGCAACGTTAAGCTGATTCCTATTTCCTATACTCATGGTGTGTCAAAAGTGGAAATAGCCGGTGCGCCGTCTGGCAACCCGGCAGCCCGCCGCCATAGGGAAATTCATGCTTTTTGTCGCTTTTTCGCTCCCTATGAGTCACTTGATCTAATTAGAGCTTAACTAGGAACGAGGCGGGTCACTTGGACGTATTCGGGAGCCGAATACGGTGTTTTGAAGCCAATATCTGGGAAACCCTGCCCGCCCGATGCGAGTTTTTAAGAGTCTGCATGCCCAAATTAACGTTGAGCGCGGCCGTTTTCGGTTGATTTTCCCCGACCTTGTGGCGAAATCGCCTTATTTATTCAACCATGGTGGGCTAATTCGCTTAACTAGGAATGAGGCGTTGAAGAGAATTATTCAAGGAATAGAGCTGTGCAAAAATATTTTTTGTATTGTTAAAACTGTATCCGCCATCGATCGAACGATAAATATTGTTGACCCATCAGAAACACACCAGCTGGAATGCGTTTGGACTTGGCTGGATCTAATATTAGCGAGTATCTGCTAATGCAGTTTCTTGGCTTACATAGTACGCACACAAGCATACATACTTCCTGCCCTTGGTTATTCCTCACTTGAATAAAAATTTTGCTATAATAACTATTCCAAGCAGTTAACAGGTTTTAGTGCAGTGCCAATTCGGAACCGTTCAGCGCCGCCTGTCTCCCAGGCGGCGCGTAACGGCTGCCACCGGCCGCCGCGCCGCCGCTCTGGCAGGATGTTTGACTTCATATCTCTGTTGCTAGAAAAGTTGTGGACCGATTTACTTGATTCTTGCATGAAAAGATCCGCCATTCAATTCTTAGCAGATAACGAAAATTTGACGTCAATTGCACGATCCGCTGCCCATATTGTGGTACTGCCATCTATTGACAAGGCTGGCGAACTAAAGCCGGGCGGCTATTTCCACTTTTGACACACCATGTTCATCTCCGAAATTCTACACACGGTTAGGGCGTTGTAGATTTCGATTGTATTTTCCGCCAAGGAAATCCCAAAATCAGAGGAACCGTTCTTTTTATGAAACAGATTGCTAGTTTTTTGGCTGATAATTGCCGAATGTGAGTTGTACGTTTGTGGAATTGTAGTTTGTACTTTCGGATTGTACTTTTTCCTTTATGAAACAGATTTGTACAATCGAAAGTACAAACCTACAAACTACAACTACAATTCTACAATTCCAGGCTTTATGAAAAAGGACACTGGTGGATCCAGGGAGTGTTTTATGAGTGAATAATAATATAATCGACCAAATGCTCCATGGGTTCACAGAGGTGCTTCTCCGTACCAAGCCGACAAACCTCCGTAGCAGAACAGCCAGGTTGAAGACTCACTCGTTGCCATGGAAACGAAGCTTATTTGTTCAAGTAATTTAATATCAAAATAACTTCTATCGGTATTTACGTAAATGAAAAAATGATTTTATAATACCAAAATGTATATTAATAAAAGCAATATCCATTTAATTGTTTTCATTAGTTACTATTTGTTTGCGCTCACAAATAATTCGTCGCCAAACAGCCAATCAAAACAAATCCTAAAAACGCGAGATGTCAAATTTACCTAGGTAGGAAGGTAGGATGGTGCAAGAGAAGCTACCGCCCTAGGTAGTTTTACTAGGTAGGTATTTTGCCGATTCTACCTAGCTAGGTATTTTGTTGCAAGAGGCCTCTGGTGTAAAAACCGTTCTGCCTAGGAACTTGTAGTTCTGCCACATAAAATGTTATAATATTGCCGCTAAATCTGGAAAATTTCAATGTAGTAGGTCATATAGTTAGGAAATGGGAGACGTTCAAAACCACAACACTTTGTTTGAAACGCCCTGTAATGCCACTTTCGACCGACACTGGCGGCCAGTGACGCCAGAAAATCGGTCATAACACATTTTTTTCCGACGAATTTTAACAAGTCCGCAACAGACGATGTAATATTGATGCAGGAGCGTCTATATATATTTTCAGAGCGACTGCATTTTTTTTTTGCAATGGTGAAAAGTCTGCAATGAATGGCGGGATAAAAAGCACATGTGACACCAAGGAACACCACGCTAACAGACTAAGATGCATACAAAGTGAAGACGTCACGAGGGAGTATGCTGAAACCCAGTATAGAAATAACGAGGCCCAGTGAAAAATGGTTAGCAATAGTTAAATTGGATTTGGTTAGATTAGGTTAGGTCAGGCTAGTTTTTGCTGTTTTCAGGACAATGTCCTTTTGATACTGGGTTTCAATGTACGCGTCGAGAAGTGGCGTCAATCTGGAGACAGCTTTTGATTTCCCAATGTGGTGCGGGTCAGCGCGGCCGGCCAACAGCGGCGTGGCACGGCGGCGCGGCCGGCAGCAGCTGCACCCACCTGCGATCGCCGTCAGCTCGGCCATCTTCTCCTGAGTGAGCAGCGGCGGCAGCCTCTTGGAGAGGAACTCCTTGAGCGCAGTGGCCACTGCGTTCACGGCCAGGTCGAGCTCGCCGATACTGGCGGCCGGGTCCTCTGCCAGCCGCTCGAACAGCAGGTCGACGTGCTGACGGTTGCCGGGCACCCGGTACAGGCCCTCCGTGTCCAGACCTTCAGCCTCGATGTACTCCACGCACCGGGTCAAAAAGAGCGGCAGTTGACCTCCGGCGCCGCCGCCCGGCACTAACTCCTCCAGCTGCCACACAAAGGGACAGGGTCAGGCGGGATACACAGAGGGACAGTCGGACGGCATATACCCAAAGGTTGTTTCTTTATTAGACAAACACTATTCTTTAGAATTCCGTTTTTCTATGGAAAAACAAACTGAGGGTGGTTCTTTTTCGGGAAAGGATTCGTATTTGGCGCAGGAGATCCGGGCACCTTGATAGGCTTCCAAACGGCCCAATAGATTTTGATGAAATTTTCAGGGCAGCTGCCCCCGCAGATTATCTACCACGAAACATAACTTACGAGGGTAAGGTCACTAATCAAAATGCTCATAACTATAGTTCGTTTTTTTTCCTCAAAGGGACGCTGGCCCAAGTTCATTATTGAAACTCTCACGTGAGTTTTGGCAGCTTCAGCGTCTCGCCAATAATTTCTCACCGAAAAAAATATTCGATTTCAAATTGTACACGGTAAGTGGCCGGAAATTGTGTCTTGAAAAATAAGCATATTATGATGACGTCACTGGTGGCAGCAGTCACCAAATGTCCGTAGTGTCGAAGAAATTAGGGGCAACTTTGTTTTTCACTGTTGCCAAGGTTATAATCGAGTAAGTGGTTCCGTCCATGGTATTTATACGTTACATTGCAATACAAGTTCGACAGCATGACGTCACAACTGTTCTAATATCTAGTCCCAAAACGCACGTATGGAAAGTCAAGGCCCTAAATCAGGGGTCGGCAAATGGTGGGGCATGCCCCCTTTGGGGGTAATAGAGCCCTTTCGGTGGGGGTAATGAGGGATTCTGAGAAAGCCTATCTTTTTAGAGTTTGTAGCTCCAGTGATGGAGCCATCGTGACTGTTGCATCCCAAGGTTCAAAGATTAGCCCAGGCCAAAGGCACAGCACACACTGATTAGATACCAATTTTCATGTACAGGTCTCGCGGGTTTTAAGCGTAGGTTTTGCCTTTCCGGCTATATCTTTTTCGTCTTCAGCTTTGTAGGCTTGAAGATGTGACCGATTTATTCGTTTAACTCCCTTTCATGATCATGGAAAAAGGTTTGATTGTATGCCGGCTAGTTTCGGAGAAATTAAAGGAAAACCTCAAAATTCGCCGTTTGGGGCATTCTGACCGCGGCTTCCCTGCAGTCGCCTATGACTACAGTGGCGCCACCCGACGAGTAGGAGGCTGAAACACAGAGGCATGAATGAATCCAGCGCGTGGTGAACGGTGGATAGAGGCGGGACTCGGCAGAGGCTATCACTGCGGCCCGCGCAGGGCGTCCTTGGACAGCGGGCGAGCCTTCGGGCGGTGAGGCCAGAGGTCACGACAGCCAGGCTCTGTTTGGCATGAAGGGAGGGGAGGCACTCGCCTCAGCCAACTCAGCCGGTTTGGTGGTAGTGGTGGTGGTGTGGGGGGGGGGAGGCGGCAGGCGAGAGGGGCTAGAACAAACGGGTCACGGGATGAAATAGAATGGAAATGTAGTGCCATGGTCAACTTACAATATTGTTTACCTTATCATTTATTAACATTACGAAAGAACCCACCATATAAAATTGAGAAATATACTACAGGAAATGTTATTTTTCGATGTTACCGTTTACTTTTAATGGAAACCCTACTTCTTATTAGGGGTGATAAAATGAGCCCCTCTCCTCGTTTTTTCCTGAATAACTCTGGTAAATAGTGGCGGATAGCAGCGAAGCGTTCAGTGCCGTAAGTTATTTTTCTCACCATAAGTAAATAAATACCCATGCGGTCAGGAGCCAGGATAAGTTCAGGCCATCTGCAATTAAAAGTTTACACCTTCCCTGAAAATTGCATGACCCTGACCAAAGCTGCGTGACGAGCTGCATCGAATCGATACCCATTTTATGCAAAAATATCAAATTAAAAAATGTGACCAAATTTGACCTGACCTTTACCTGACCTTCACCAGAACATAACCTAAACTGGCCCCAAAGGCTGCCTGACCCACATAATCGCATTTGTCATGTAAAATGAACCAGAAAACATGCATCACATAATAGTTATTTTCATATTGTGACCCTCAGTGACCTGACCTCAGTGACCTGACCTGGTATCAGTGATCCCAAATTACAAAATATGTGTTTGACGAACAATTCCCCATCGAAAATTGTCATTCATCGATTCCTTATCGATTAATGGCATGCATTTTACTCGATTTTAACCCATTTACGCCCTTCGTTGCGTTTTCGCAACGCAAGCAAGCGTCGACGTGATCGAAGCTTGAGAAGTGTGTAAAAGAGACTAACCGATGAGACAAGTTTCAGCGTGTGTAGCATGGTTGTGCGCATGATGCTACGCAGTTACAAGTCTGTGCGGCCGGTAAGTTCCTGCCTAGAGCTCCCAGAGGGAAGTCAAAGGTTTTGTGAGTGATGACGTCACGAAAACCAAGATAAGTAGGCTAAGTACTTAATAATATCGTAATGAAAATTGTGTAAACATATTCTGCAGAGTCCCTACAATAGCGTAGATATGCATTTTGTTAAGAAATAATGCTACAAAAAGGGTTTGTGACTATTTTCAAATATGACTACGGTCGCGTTGCGGGAACGCAACGAAGGGCACATCGGAAAGACAGCGGTGTTGCGAAAACGCAACGATGGGCACATTGGCAGGGTAGCGGAAGTATGAATATCAACAATAGACTTCACTCGTGCTACGCTGTGGGTTCTCTCTTTCTCTCCCCCATCTTCCTCCCTCTCCTCCTCGTTCCCCAACCCTCTCCCTCCCTCTCCCTCTCTCTCTCTCTCTCTTTCTCTCTTGCTTTCTCTCTCTCTCATTTTGTAGCCAGAGGCTGTAGCGGCGGAACATCTTCAATTAAGGGGGGGGGGGGCACTGCCGACTTTTGGTCCCATTCTTTCCATTTCCATTTCCATGCAACGCCTATAGGGATAATGTTAAAATGGCAAAATGAAGGGGGGCACGGTGCCCCGGTGCCCCCTCCCCCCCGCTCCGCCGCCTATGCCATGAGGGACGTGTATAGGTATGTTTAGTGCAAGGTGCGTTCGCACGTAAAATGTTGCGACACATTTCATATTTGCTGGTTCAAACAGCCACAAACACTCCTTTCTTTTTCTCTCGCAGATTATCGGCCTCGGGCTGTTCGTTCACTAAGCAATGCGTTCCCATGCATCTGGAAATCGCATGGTAGGCATCAAACGGTCGGCATCAAACGGTCGGCGATGCTAACGGAGCTGAGAGATAATTAGGTCCTTTGGAAATTGGATCTTCTATGTACATTGTCCATATGTAATGAATAACGGGGATGTATTCTTGTATCGCAGGCGACAGATGGGCATCGCTATTCTCTGGATAGAATCTGCTGACTACCAACATTTACGTTAGAAAAGATAACTGAGGGTCGGCAAATAGTGGGATAGGCCCCCTCTGGGGGTAGCTGAGCCCATCGGCAGGGGTAATGAGGGCGGACCTGGGAAAATAATAATTGTTAGGATTCATAACTTGCATAGATTCATAAGCTGCTTGATGTGGAGTATACGCTTGTTTTCTTACTTTGATTGGCTTTTTATCTAATCAGACCATTTTTAGAGCTAGCAGGATTATTGGAATTAGGGGAGACATTTGTCTGACCGGACACGGTTAATCGTAGACTGGAGACTGAGCCCAGCCAGTGGGCAGGCCACCCATGACCCACCCTCTTCCCCCCTCCCAAGCACTCGCTGCACCCGGCTACAGGCGCGCTCCTATGTGAGCTGCCCGATTGCGATATACGTTGCCGGTCCAGCCCGGAACAGGGGGTTGAGGCGTGGAGGAGGATTAAACTATCCTGAAGATGGAAAGGACGGATTGACGTCGAATCACCATTCTGTCCTGGCATTGTCTCGAGAAAGAGGCTATACGTGAAGGTCGCTGAGAGTGGGGCCATGAAAATTTTGGATTAGGTGTAAACATGATAAACTGGGAGTCGATTTGTTGTGATGCGCTATAACGCCTTACGCGGGTAATTTGTTAGAGCCGGATCGGTCCTTCTTTTCTTTTTGCTGAGAGTGGGTACGACTAACCTGCAATGGAATTTAACTTTACTCCTAGGAGGGTGGTTAACAATGATTGCGGATATACGCGCATACGTGAGGCACTGGTTTACTCCCAATCCTCCGTTTAATTGTATTCAGTGTGGGGTCTGATAGGTGGGGGTAATGGCTCTGTCTAGCTTCCAAAAGAAAGCATCACCCTGGATACGTGTCGACCACAACTTTAAATGAACAGCAATGGACAACGTAAATGGTTGATAATGACCGTGTTGCCATCTCCCCGTTCGCGAATCATGAAGTTATGCTTCCTCACTGAGGCTCTTAGGCGGGTTATAAAGCATGACGGATGTGGGTTCCGCATTTTCAAGCAATAGTTGTCAACAGTTGATTGTTGTTTTGTCAAAACATATTAGCATATACGGCAGTTCAGTGTACTTTTTGTCCGTCTGATGTGCCCGTCGTTGCGTTTTCGCAACGCTGATGGCGCCCGGTGTGCCCTTCGTTGCGATTTCGCAACGCATGTTTTTTACGTTTTTCTCGAAAAACTTTTGCTGCAGGCGAAAATTATTTTCGATTCCATGCAAGGCCCTGGTAGGAGCATAACATATTTTGATTTCGTCGATTTTCATGATGGTCAATATTCCTGGGCATAAATGGGTTAAAACATATTTCTTGAAATGCCTGTAAACGGTGAAAATTCGACATTTGACCTGACCTGTGACGTCATCGGTTTGACTGTGGTCAATGAAATTGAGCCAAAAGGTATTTCCTCGTTGGGACCATCCAACACAGTTTGCTGCTTGTCGCTATTTTGCGTTGTTCTCGAGATCTTTGGGGGGGGGGGGCAAATCCCCCCATGGGACCGATGCTTGGTAGACCTTAACGGGGCGCGGGTTAAATGACAGAACTGTTCCCAAGAAATAACACTACAGTCGTCTCCCGGCCTCAATGGTAAGCGGCTAAAACTTTGAACGACTACCTATGAATCGGCACGCTGCCGGCTCACTCC